CCCATCCTAGACTTACTGAATCAGAATCCATTTTAACAAGATCCTCAGTTTATGTGCTCATTAAAGTTCGAGAATTACTGATTAAACTATACAGTCTTAGTTCACAGACAGAGGTGGGGGAAAGCAGTGAGGAGTTTATCCAAAACGCTTGTGTGACTTCTGAGTACCTTCCCTACATGCCTCTAGCCTCAGTTCTGGGGCTCAGGACCTCCAACCCTGGTTCTTGCATGACCTTTTAGGGGAAGTATTAGAGTCTCTCTATGCATGTTTTTGATTTTTCAAGATGCTACACCTGCTCATAAAATTCTGATTTTTTTCTTGCTCTCTTGGAGTGGGAGCTTTCTTAAAGTGAAAAAGTATTGTTCCTGACTAAGTATCTAGTTGTGCTGTGTGAACAGGGAAACTGATTGGCCCTGATCGCCAGCCAGGCCTAGGGAACCCACCAGTGCATGAATTTCGTGCACTGGGCCTCTAGTATTATAATAACTGTATATGGTGAGAGGATGGCACTAGACTTATTAGGGGACTTTGTAAATTATATAAATATCTAACCAGTATACTATTCACCTGACACTAATATAAAATAATACTGAGTGTCAAAAAGAACATAGCTGCACAAATTCATTATGTTTAAAAAACTAGTGACACATATGCATTTCTGCCACATTATTACCACTGAATGTAGTGAGTATTTAGGTATGTTTGTTAGTTGTCTAATTTAGTGACAAAATCATTTTTTAAATTCTCCATTGAATTTTACTGTATGAAACTTTATTTAGCAAAAAATAACGTTTCTCCAAGAACATGGCTCTTATTTGCCCTTCTCTCTAAAAAGAAATGTATTCATTCACATCCATTCAAGATATTAATATTTTTAATATTTTTCTCTTTTGCCAGTTATTTCTTCTCTCTCAAACACTTTTTAAAAATCTATATTAGGCAGGAAGGACAATGACAAATGAAAGGATGTCTCAATTTCTGTCTCAGCTCTTTTCACCTATAATAGCTTTAGGGTTACCCAATTTCTGCTTGGAAATTTTCTTGGAATTTTTTGTTGTTATTATACTATTCTTTTATTCTTAGATTTATATAGTTTCTAAGAGTTGTATTCTCTGAGATTCTTTGTGACTCATTAATTACTTGCTTTGCTCCTAGCCAGGGTCAATTTTCTTAGATTTATTATCAGGGTTTCATCATCTGACTGTTTTCTTCCAGAGAGAAAGTAATACTACTCTTGCCCACCTACATGGAATGAGTCAGGCCCATATAAATGTGAACAAAATTGGTATTTTTTAAAATGGAACAAAAGCTTTAAAAACATTGCAAGCTTCACCACATTTTTGTTTTTAAAGTTTTTTAAAAAAACATATGTTTTTTGCTAATAATTCTTTATTGTTGAAAGTATTACATATGTTCCCCCCTTCCCCCCATTGAATGCCTCCAGCCCACCCCCATCAAGCTTCACCACATTATTTTTAACTTTGAATGTCTCAGTTCTTGGTATTGTGTCTCAGGTTCTGGTACCGCAAGATCTGTTGCCTGCCTATATGAAGGATTCATTAAATAAGCATGGAAGTTTGAAAATAATATAAATAGAGAAATAGCACACACAACTAACCATTAGGATTTTCCTTATTCACTATGAATATAAATTTATTGTTTGCTTTGTATGATTACATAAATATCACAGGTTTATTGTAATAAACTGCAAACTTGCAGTAAAACAAAAGAAAAATGATGGAATGATTTACTCTGAGATTTCCATAGTTAACATTGATGATTATATTTTTATTGATCATTTTTAATGTGTGTGTATATGTGGCATATAAAGTATGTGTTTGATACCTGTGCTTTTATAGGAAATGCTTATATAAACATTTATTTTCTTTTCCCTAGTTTTCTTATTCCAACTATCATCTCTAGGAAAATATATTTAAAAATAATAACATTCCCATGGCTACTTCTGAGCTCTTATTTTTATATGCAAAAATTTTAATAACAATAGTTGTTTTATCGTATTATATGACAATATTTGTTAAATACATAGCCTAACATTCACTAGTATCTTTATACAGACATCATTATAAAACTACATTCCTAAAGAAAGGTGCTTATATATCTAAAAAATAATTTCTCTGTAGAGTCATTGCTTGGCTAACTATATATAAAATCTTATTTAATGTTCCATTACCAACCAAGTTTTAAAAATGGCGGTGACAACTCTGAAAACGAGTGATATGGTTTCCAATATATGATACAGGAGATACTATATTACACTAGAGTCTGCTACATTCATCCTTGCCAGAAGTTCTTATTGAGAATGAACATTTCACAATCAAATTACACAACTCCCAAAACAGTGATTTGCTATTTGTAGACGCATACATAACTACAGAACTGAAGACAGAAAAGTATCTCAACATTATAAGTAACTTCCAATTTGGAAATAAATGGAGTTTAAGATAAATAAATAGCTGTTTAAATTTTAATAAAAATCTCTAAGATATCAATTCCTGTAAATGGACTCATTTTTTTTTAAATGTAGGGAATTACTTACCTAGCAGTTTTCTCAGTGCCATTATGACATCCTTGTTCCTTAGACTGTATATCATGGGGTTAAATAAGGGAGTCACGATAGTGTAGAAAAGAGACAGCACTTTGTCAGTTCCTGCGGAGTCTTGGGTCATGGGTCTTAAATATGTGATGATACCTGATCCAAAGAATAGTGCCACCACTATAAGATGAGATGAGCACGTGGAGAAGGCTTTGCCCCGACTCGTGGCTGATGGCAGTTTAAAAATTGTGGAGATGACTTTGCCATAGGAGAGTAGTATGAACAGAAATGGAACCATGACAAACAACACTGCAACTATGTAGACCATCATTTCATTTACAAAGGTGTTCCCGCAGGCCAACTTGAGTATTGGGGGGATGTCACAGAAAAAGTGGTTGATGAGGTTAGAACCACAGAAAGGCAGAGAGAAAATCTGGACGGTCTGCCCTATTTGGACTGGCACTCCACTGACCCAGGAGCCCGCCACCAGCTGGACGCAGACCTTGTGGCTCATCACTAGAGGGTAGTGCAGAGGGTTACAAATGGCCACGTAGCGGTCGTAGGCCATCACGGCCAGAAGGAAACACTCGGTGGCTCCCAGCATAAGAACCCAGCACATTTGTGTAGCACAAGCAACTAAAGATATTGTTCTTCGTTGGGTCCAAAGATTCGTGAGCATTCTAGGGAGTGTAACTGATACATAGCAGATTTCCAAAAAGGAAAAATTGCCAAGGAAAAAATACATGGGGGTCTGGAGAGCAGGGTCCAGTTTTGTAATGAGAAATATGGTGCTGTTTCCCATCAAGATAATGATATAGATGATTAAGAATAATCCAAATAGAAACCACTGGAGATGAGGAACATCAGCAAAGTCCAAGAGAACAAATTCCATCAATTTAGTTATATTTTCTTCTGGTGTTTTTTCTTGGTGTTTCATCTGTGGGAAGAGGAAATTTACTGTGTGCTTTTATTTTTATCTTCGTGGATCAGTGCCTGTTCTTTAAACTGTTGGTGAATATTGAGATTGGTTTTCATGATCACTGCAATTATTGCTAATTTAAGAATATTACTATTGATATATTCCCCACTCTCTCAGTGTAGATACTATAGGTTATCACTGTAAAATTTCTTGAAATTTCCTTTAAGATCATTGTTTGTATTTTCTGAATAGAACCCCAAATAAACCAAACTATGTCCTGCCCAGCATAGAAACTAGCAAAATTGGGAGTTGTTGAAGATAGACCCACAGCATTGCCATATGATCTAACTTTTAATGAAGTACAGTTCTTGACAATCCAGCTCTATGTCAAAAATTGTCTTCTGTATACATTTTCAACTGCCTGTGGCAACCTTTCATTTCTCTTCCATCACTAGATTATCTTGAACATACATGTCTTTATTGTACAGTTCATATTATTAGGTAGTTTACAAAAGAAGAGAGAATATTTTATTATACATGGTGGTATAAAACAAATTAGTTTTTAGTAGAATACCGAGTGGGGAAAATAAGAGAGTTCTATTCTAGAAAATTTGCCTGGGGACACAGATACAGATAGAAACAGTAAAGGGGGAAACTCTGAGGAAACAGAAATGGCCTGGAATGTGCATGGGTGTGGGCAGGGGGAGAAATATGTTGCCTGTGATATTTACCCGGTGTGCCCCTCCACTATTTTTGTTGTTCCTTAAAACATAACACTTTAGGTAACCATTTCTCACTTTTTTTAGGGATAAAGATAATTGAAACTGACTGATGATGGCTACTTTGATCATTTGCACAAAGGATTTATGATTGCAAGTCAGGGCCTAATTTTATTTTAATTTTTTTTTGTGTGTTTAATTGGACTTCAGTTTGAATCCTAATTCCTAAATCTGGGTTAAATAAAGCAAGTGTTTAACAAGGTTCGCTTCTTTATTTGTGATAATTAAATGAAATCATATTGGTAAAATTGCCTATCAATTTTAATTATGATTCTATTAATTATGAATGTGATATTATGTTCTTAAATTTTTAGTCCCCAGTGTTATATAACATATTGCCTAGCAAAATATGTACTTAATAGAGTTATTGAGTAACTTGGTGATTACTCTTTCCATTCTTCTCTTTCATCAGGGCAGGGATAAAGGAAGTGAGTGACATCCCTCGGGTACAAAATTTAAGAGGCACTCACTCATTTTCAGGGCGGGCTGATTCCGCATGATACAATCCTGAAAGTGTGTTCCTCCTTAGATATTGCATCCCAAGCATCTCTTGACTCAAGATGGGTCCCAGCCCTGCCTTTCATTTCTCTGTCCTGGTGAACCATGTTCACCAAACATAGGGAAACTATCGTGTCATGGATAAACAATATATTCCTACCAAGATGGACAGGATTTTAATTATAGCTTCCCACCTGCTAGCTGTGTGGCCTTATGCAAGTTGCTTAATTTCCCTTGGCTAACTAACGTATAAACACTTAGGATTGTTATATGAGTTAATGCATTTAAGATATCCAAAGTAATTTGAAGCAGTCCTGGCATTTATGAAAGAATGGCTAAACGCTAGCTATTATTATTGTTATTTCATACTCATTTGAATTACATTTTACTACTAAATTTTCTAAGCTGCATGAAAAAAATACCCTCTAATTTACTTTTTCTTTGTAGCACATGTTTAAAGTGAGAAAAACTAAGATATTAAAGCAATCAATCAGGGTGTTAAAACTTCTCCATTAATTCTCTGCCAATATTTTTGCTTATGTTATTATCTCTAATCTGTGGGCCTAATGCCAGGATTACTCTCACTACCCAGCCCATAGTCTTGCAACTTGGCTACTCCCTTGATGACTTTTCTTTTACCATCACTAATGATCTGGAGGCAAGGACTGTGACTATTTTCTACCTGGGAACAATATAGGTCTTAGAAAATGCCTGATTCCCGAAGTAAGTAAAGCATCAGAAACTGTTTAAGTGAAATCATCATTCTTAAAAGGGAGAAAAGGATAAATATACAATGTAATCAAATTCCAATATTTATGTATTGCATTTATGAATGGCAGCATTTAATAAAATAATTTAATCCTTATTTGAATAAAGTGATTTCTGGTACTAAAATATATATGTAGCTTCTAACTGTACAAATCCAATTTTGGTGATGAAATCATCAATCTATTACATGAAATATGTCAGATTTGTTTATGTTTTCCTGAAGAGGGGAGCAAGGTTGAAAAAGAGGAGATCTACTTTTGTGCTTTAACAAAATTATCTATATTTCTCTAATTTCTTGTAAATATTTAAGTTATTAATCAAAGAAAATAAAATTCAGTGTTTAATGATTTTATTTTAAATGTCAGTCTCCATTCTTTGAATAAATCGAAATAATTAAGAAAATGTTTACAATATTATAATTTGTTAGCTATAAAGAACTAAGCAAGCTTCACACATATTTATATATTTGATATAAAATTTCAAATTAAACTTTGAAATTAATAAAACACCACATAAAACTTAAAAACATTTCTATTATATTAGAAGTCCTTAATTTAATTTTTTCTTTAAGATAAATATTTTTAAGATTTCCTAATGGTTGTACTTTATTCATGGATTGTTTTAATTTAAATCTCCTATTACTATATCAAGTTGAATACATAAATATTATACTTATTTGTTACATGTTGGCTCAAAATGAAGTATTTTATAATATTACCTGTACCTAGAAAATATTCTTCAATACTACAGTTTACAGTATTTCAAAATGATTTAACATCATTACTATTTCATTGTAAAATTTAATAAAATTAGAATATGTAAGAGTTGCTTTAAAACAGACACATTTTCTACTGTGTTAAATATTAATTTTAAATTAAGAAATATGAACTAAAGCTTAATGTCTTATAAAATAGTTCATATTTACCTCTCTTATTTGGGATGTTGCTGATTTTTCTCACTATACAGGTTTTAAATATTTAAATTAATGTAGGTGAAATACTTGTTTGATCAAAGATATTCCAGCCACCTCTAAAATATTCTGTTCTTTATAAATAAAAGGTGCTGTTTAAATAAAAGTAGTCATCTTTACCCCTGGGATCTCTTCCACCTAACACATTTAAGTTTTCAATTATACTTTCAAATTTTACTTCTAATAAAATGAGAATCTGGCATAACTCCAGGTGAGATAATGGAAAAGGTGCCAAGAAAACAGGCTTCAATTCTGGGAAAGACAAATTTTTTTCAACACTTATATTGTTTTAAGATCGTGGGTTGGAATCAATTTCTTATAACAAAAATAGGCTGTTGCTTTCTATTATTTAGTAAATAGTGACTTCTAAGGGTTTATGCTTATGAAAAGGAAACATTTACAAGATAAGGAGCTCCTATAGCAGTGACGGCAAACCTTTTGAGCTCGGCGTGTCAGCATTTTGAAAAACCCTAACTTAACTCTGGTGCCTTGTCCCATATAGAAATTTTTTGATATTTGCAACCATAGTAAAACAGAGATTTATATTTTTGATATTTATTTTATATATTTAAATGCCATTTAACAAAGAAAAATCAACCAAAAAAATGAGTTCGCGTGTCACCTCTGACAAGCGTGTCATAGGTTTGCCATCACTGTCCTATCGTCATGTGATGCTGGAAAGTGACTAAGAAAGTTTATTACAAATTATCAGGAGCCATTTGTCAGCATGGAAAACAGAGGAAGGTGGTGAGAGGCCTCAGAGGAACCAGATGGGACACAGCACAGCAAAGGGGTGAGAGCAGCCAGGGCTGAGCTACTGCAGATGCACAGCCAAGAAGCAGCTCAGCTGAAACCGAGTTCTGAGCCCAATAATGAGCACAGAGTAATGTCATGCATGGATAGAAGGATCTGCTGATGCCACAGAGTATAAGTTCCAGAAAATGGCTCAAAAGCGAGGATTTACTTGATGAAGAGAGCTTACCAAATTGGCAAATTATGGACATACAAAATACTACTGGGACAAGTTAGCAGCCTCAGTGGGAAAAAAAGAAACCTTATATTTTCTTAATACCTTATATTATAACAAGAAAAACTCCAAATAATACACAAGCTTAAAGGTTTTAGAGAGTGAAATGATAAAATTATTCTAAGAAAAAAAAGGTTTTTAGAATTTTGGAGTAAGGAAAAATTAACTATAACTCAAAATTTAGAATAAAGGACACAAAAGTTGAAAAAAACCTTCCTATGTAATAATAAATAATCCTGCATGATAAAAAGAAACAAACTCCCAAAAATAAAGTCAAATAGAATTCATATAATGGAAAAATAATTACAAATGCTATCTCAAATAAAGTGCTCTTGGCTTATTCTTCAATACTGAGGAACAGTCCAAACTATAAATAGAAAAATGAACTAAACAAATGAAGAAACATTTCACAGAAAAGATAGAAAAATAACCCCTTAAACATATAGACAGATACTCAACGTTATTTGTAAAATTTTATATTTTAATCTGAACAATGATTTAGTTTTAAAAAATTTGAGATATTTCCTAAGCATTATATATAAAAAATGAAGCAAGCACCATTGACCAATTGTGTTTATTTTTTGATTTAATCACTAAAACACGCATGCATATGAAGTTATGCAGTAATATAATATTGCAACAAGTTTGTATTTACAAAAGTTTGTAAACCAACTAAGTAAAAATAATCATGTGGGTTATCTCTTACTGACTTAAATGACCTTAATTTTGATATTGTCATGTATTCATTTTTCTTCTAGAGCTCTATGATGCCTCTAAAATATGAGTTTTATAATTTATGCAAACTTTTCTAGTGCTTTCAACAGGAAGACTGGCTTGCTATGACTCAATGAATTGTAAGCAAATATGGACGTTATCTCTTTGTTTTAAATGTTGGAAAATATATGTGGCTTGGTTTTCAGTAAGTTCTTACATAGGCTTGATTCCTTTATCCAAAAGAAATCAGTACTATTGCCACTCT